AGTTCATTGTTTCAGGTTTAGAAGATGCAAATCATGGGGTGCAGAGTGTGGTGAGAACAGAGGACTTTGAAAATATGAGTCTGTATGGGATCATTTATGCCTAATTCACGTCACACGCTAGCGTTCTCTACTCCACCAGTATTCCAGTAGCACAGGAACACACCCATGAACCCGAATACGAAAGACAGTGTCCACCTTATCTATACGGCCTTTTCAATATCATCCTATTCAGCTTGTCCCCAATCATTATCCGCACCGATGCTACCATACCCACCATCCGCCCCTATTCGGGCACACGAGCAAGCAACAGCGAAGTTCAAAAACCAAAAGTTGGGCTGGCTTAAGTCTACCGGACTGGGAGGCGGATGACTAACGCTTTTCCATATGAGTGTGTATTAGTCAGACAGATGCCGACATCCACGTTCCAGCTATAGGACATTATCAGCGGCTGTGATGATGGTACATGGATTACAGGGATGAGCAGTAGTGTCGTAGCTGGCTTGATGGCTGAAGCTCGTGCCATGAGTGCAACTGGTATGTTTGTGTGTGTGTGGGTGGGTAGGTGTCAGAATAGTTAACCGAGGAGACTCGGACCCGACCGACGGTTGAACGGATGCCAAATGTGCGTTCGTGATGATAGGACGCAAAAGCAATAGCATAGCCGAGGGTGTGGGAATGACATGCTCGATGCGTTACTTCTAACAACAACACACATGAGTCGGCATGATACCTCTGTTGGACAATGCATGGGGCATTTATTTTTGAGTTTAGACGATGGGAGAGGGTTGGGCAGAGGCAACACGAAACAGGAAATTGAGCGGATGCTCGAAGGAGAGTTAAGCGTAAACACATGCGCATACCAAGGAGACCGACAAACAACTTCGAACAAAGTTTCCGGTAGGAGTATTCAGTTATGTAGGTTACAGGAATATGGTAGGAAAAAACGTAATTGGGATATATCTAAATGGATTTCAGCTGGGTCAGATGGAATAATCGTTCTCGATGCGAGTGACTGAATGGTTTGTGCCTGGTCTACGATGGGCCGTCAACTGTTGTCGAATAAAGCGTCTCGGCAATAAACGAACAAAGCATGGGCAAAACTACAGCTATGTCAAGCCAGATCATACTGGAAAAATACTTGTTTCCTTTTCTGTGAGTAATGTAGACACCTTGGTTCAGTGTATGTACTATTCTTCTGTGGTTAAGATCAAGATTACAGATAGTATGTTATGACAACAACAGTGGTTCCTGTGGTTATTTAGACCTCACTCGTTTACCTTTAGCTTTCTTTTGCCGGTTTTAGCTTTGACTACTGCTCAAAGTAACGACTCATTACATCGACAATCTACTAGTTGAATGTTGCTCCCGGTCTTGGTATATTCACACAAACGCACCAAATGACCGACTCGAGGATTTTTCTGCCCCGCAGTTTTCGCGGCCTACACGTATTTTTCAACCGGTCTTGTCTGAAGTGTTCCCCAACTGCGGGAGCTGGGCTACGAAAAATTGAGATTTGAATAACTACGTGAAACACTGCAGTATTCGTCAACTGTACAATCTTCAATGAAACAAGAGACAAACAGCGAGCCACATATTGTTGGTCATCTATGATCGAAAAAGGTCGCCAAGACAGCACAAGAACGTGCAATACCTATTTCTCATTTCGGCAAATGGATAAATTGGGCAATTTTATCCACCTTTAGGAGACGACAACTTGATATGAGATTCTATGCATTGATAAAATTGAGTATCAAAGATTACGCGCAAGAGATACTTAATACTAGAAGGAAAGCTGCTCCGGACAGTATGCGTTGAAAACACCTACCGACGGTAAGTTGCACACGCATGGTAAATTTGTTCGGACGCGGATACCGATGAAGAGGACAAGGCATTTGTGTTTACATTTGCAAAAGGAGCGGGACTGTAACACAGATGGATAGAAAGAAATGTACGGTGTGGCCCTTTCATCGGTCGTGCTCTCTCTCTCTCTATTGAGAAGACAAGTAATCTAATCTGTACATGAATGATTCCAATCAAATTGCGTGACCGTATACGGAGACAATGAACGGAATGCGAACAGGAAATACGATCTATCGTAGTTAATCCCATGTTTGTTTATTGCCTTTCAGATGACCAGCAACAAGGGCAACAGAAGCAATAATGT